CGAGGAATTCAATCGGCGAGCGTTTCTTTCATTTCTACAGTAAAAATCTTGAACTAATGCAAATTCACTTTCCGGCTTGATTCTTTTCGATCAAATACGCTAGTTCAACGAGAAAACGTCAAAGAAATCAATCTGCGAGCGAAACTTGCGAGTTTGCGTGTAATAGGCGAAGTAACGTGATTGTCAAGTCTCATCTCATTTTCTGCTATCAAAATTTGACATTAATTACCAAGGTTTAGTTTAATGATCTAAATGTATAGTTCAAGCAACTAAATGTTGATTCTTAAAACTATATACTCCTATTTATTATATCCTATTGGATGATATAATATATCATCCAATCAAATTATTTCGCAACTGTTGCCGAACGTTTGGCCGAAATATTTCACCGAATTATTTAGTAACAGTTAGTAAATTTTGCTATATATTACCAAATCCTTCTTTCAGTGCTTTCTGTTTGTATTGCCGTAATTAACTCGCGCGGCCCGCTTTCGGCTCCCTTTCCTCTCTCTAATTTTTTTCCTCCCCCTTCCTTCTCATCCTCCACTATCGCCAACCCGGTCCCCTCCGACGTTCTCCTCCCTCGCGCGTGCACCGGGAATCGGTAATTAATTGCACGGGGTGAATGACGTTTTATTTAATTTCGTCATTATATCTGGCTTCGACGGACGTAGGGGGTGGCAGCCGGAACGGTAATAATTAAAATCTTTCGGTTCGACAGCGACTCGTGCAGTGAACCGTACGTCGAGATGGGAACGTATTATACGGGAGCGCAAAGGTCGTACGGCGGGGCCGTTTTGTTTCGTTAGAGTTTCCTGATCGATCGAAAAAGTTGGCACCGACGCTTTGTGTCCGAATAATTGTTGACGGACACCCGTTTTCGTCGCGCATATACCAGCACACACGAGTGAGCGCGCGCGCACGTGCCTAATAGTGGTGTTGGCCTTAGATGATTTCAGATCTAGATGAAGGCGAGATGAAAATTTGACCGTGATCCGTGTTCTCTTACTTTAGTGATCAGACAGAAACTGACAAATCCTACAAACTCTCGTCACGTCTTCGTATCTTGGTTTATAAATACCGGTCCACAATAGGTATTTAAAGCTTTAAGCCTTAAGAAATTGACCAATCACAGTCGAATGTGAAGAGAATAATTAACTGTGATCAATTTCTTAAGGCTTAATTAAAATACCTATTGTGGACCGAAACTAATGTGTCCTTGTATGGAGAAAGAGAAAGAGATTAAAGAGTGAATGAGTGAAAGAAAGAGAGAGAGAGAGAGAGAGAGAGCCCAGTGCCGGATTAAAAAACCATCGTCTCTGAAGTTTCCCAAGGATTTCTTTGCGCAGGGAAGACGGGGAAGAAGGGGATGGAGTTTACGAATTTAATATAAACGGTATTCTTGCGGCAGCGCGTCCGCCCGTTCGTTTGAAGATCAGCTCGTTGCGTGAAGGAAACTCGCGGGCCCGCCCGCAATCGATGCGAACACTTTCGCAAGTTCGTCGGAGTTCTCTCCCTTCTCCCCCCCCCCCACCCCTCCTTACCCCTTTCCATCTTTGTCGAGTCACTCTAAATACGCTGCTGATAAATACGCCCGGGGAAACAAATTATTTTCTAAGTCGCAAACATAATTATTACTTCCTCTCTGCGTACTTCTCCTCAGGTTTCATTCTTCTCGCTTTTCAACAGCACTTCTTGTACGAGCGATTGTAAATTCTCACCTTTATCCTCACCGAGGTCCGTATATACCGTGTGTGCACACAGCAAAGCGAGTTAATGACACCCATTCAATTAACTTGTCCTCTCTTGTTCCTGCGTGATGAAACGTCGAGATCGTACAGCATCATTATCTCGAAATAAGGGAAAGACGTGAAAGAGGCGAAACATTGAGCAGAAACGCGGTAATAGTTTCGGTCCGTGCGATGTACACTGGAAAAAAAGTTTGGTAGTAGTTAACAAAGGCGTTTGGTTGAGTGTTTCATTGTGCGATACTTGTTAATTAGTACCAGGTATGGTGGTAGTTACTAACTGTTTGGTAATAATTACAAAGTGAGTGGTGAGATGTGAGTGAACTCGTGTGTGCCTAAAGGGATGTTAATCTTCGTCACTTCGAAGTTTCCATACTTTTGACAACGTTGAAATCTAACCGTTCCAACGTCTCTGTTTCCTAACGTAATAATTTCCGATTTTCCCTCGATCTCCCACAAATGTAGTTTGGGTATGTAAATCGTTTCGGAGCTCGCCGTGAACCGCGAAGATTCAGAGGTGTTTTCACATTTTCACGAGACGAAGAATTTATTTATTAACACGACGCACAGCTTCACGGTACATTCGTCTGTTACACCGTCCGGCAAACCGAATACACGAGTGACTCCTACCTGAAACTCGCTTGCGAAAGCAAAAGACCTGGTCCGTCTCACGTACGTACCGCAAGGACTACTCGTTCTACCACGCGGCACGTGAAGGCACACATGAGAGGTCCTCGCACGGAAGATTCCTTCGGACGACGATGCGTGCAAGGTGCAACTCACGTGCTCAAAGGAGCGATAACGCCACTGCCTGAGGGGGCGACGGTGAGATGTATTAATCTTTGAGAAACGCGTCAAACATGCATAAACGAACACTTATCCACCGCGTACAGCTATCGCAATCGACATCAGAATTCCGCGGCACTCTGCACTCGATATCCAGTCTGATATCCCGGACGCAACCATCCATACAAATCGGATCTTACTAAATTGGAGGTACAATTTTCACGAGCGGAGTTCCAGTCTTCCGAGCGGTTCGGATAAGAAGGAAGAAAGAAGAAAGGAAGGAGGATGAAACGCGAGGTGAGAGAGAGAAAGAGAGAAGGTAAGAGAAAAGTCCCTTCCCTTTCTAAGCCGGCCGTGGAAGATGAAGCGAATCAAGTAACAGCGGTGGCTTACGTGCGATGCAGCCCTAAACCGTCGCCGAGGGAGCATCGCCTGGAAACGCATTACGTCTCGCGGAAAGTCCGTCTGTGCTTAGAATTCCCAGGCCCGATAAAAAGTTATATTTCACGTCACGGACTCGATGATTCCTGAAATACATAAGTCGCAATGATAATTTCATTCCCTGAGTCGCATCGAGAGCATTGTATATATATACACACATGCACAGGTCTAGAGTGAAGAATGGATATCCCAGGACTATCGTCGACATCAATGCGTATTATCATTCATCATCGGACATTAAGTAAATAAAAGTTGTTTGGTACAATGCATTTCTTTACTTTATTTATTTATACATGATTGTTACACATTCGGACCATAAATTAAATGTCTACGATATTCTTGAGTCCAAATGGAAAATTTCTCTAATAAAACGCACCGTTGGTCATTGCCAAGCTAGGTTTCGTCGCTACTGAGAGTGCTGTTTTCATCGAATATGCCATTTATTCCCTCGTTACTCCTCATTCGTCTCAGCCTCTTCTGTGGTCAGCTCCACCGTCGGCTCCGTTGTCGGTGCTGATGTAGCTGGCACTTCTGTTGTAGTTGTAATTCGACTTATGGCGTAAGCTTCCACTCTTATATGCAATCCATCACCACGTTTTCCAGTTATCAACACAACCATGGGTGTCATACCGATGTCACCTTTAATCAATTTAAAGTCAGCCTCTTTGTCTCCCACATTGCTGAACTTAACATAGGTGATGATTTCATTTTTCGATGGGGCCTTCACACCAATCGTGACTATCATGGGTTTCCACGGGAGAGCAGGCTGTAATAAATATGAAACGTTAGTACGACCGTTGGGAAATAGTTATGAAAGGCTCGCTATGTGAATTACGATAATGAAGAAACGTTCAAGGCAAATCTTGACATTCATAAGATTAAAATTAATCGTAGAATTTGGTACTCACGAGTCAAATTGACCTGAGGGGAAAGTTAATACATCATAGTTGTTAAATCTGATGGTAAATAGTATGGTAATGGTAACAGTTGTTAAATCTAAAATGAGAAATGCATTTTCCCTATTTGTGCTCATAAAGATCGAGTGCAAAGTTTGTTTCCGCAAAATGAAGGTCACAGAGTGATTCGGAAAATTCGATGAGCGATGAATCAGCGTTCCTTGGCGTTATAGAAACAATTATTTACTTTGAAGATGGTTGTGTTTCTGAAAAGGTAGTCGCCGTCCACTCGTTCGCCCAGTTCTCTGTCGCCAGCTATTATGCAGGCAGTCATAGTAAGGCACAAAACCGCAGAGAGCAAAGAGCGCATCTTGGATCCTCGGTTTGTCGTGGATTCGCTTGTTAACTGAATTTTTAACTGCTCACTTGATGATCACTGGTAACATATATACCCTACTCTTATCAATTCCCAGCGTTTGGTTCCAACTGTGACAACAACTTATGTAAGATTATTTGTCTGCTTCTTTGATGCTTCTTCCTCGGGCACGATGAATTGTACGCATGCACCTTTGTCTTAACCCGCCTGGCGATAATAAGAAGGCGCATTAATAATTTCATTTACGCATGGTTGTACTTCGAGACTTGTTATTCTACAATTTTTAATACGATTATTTTATTATGTAATACGTAATATCGAAATGGCTGTTCCAAAATTTAATTTAAACTTTAATATAAAATTATTGCACATATATCTGTGTATGTGTGTTAATTAAAGTTTTTTGAAATTTTTTTAACAACTATGTACGCGTTTCCAAAACATTAGAAGCATAAGTCTAGAGTGAAGAATATGTATTCCAGGACTACTGTCGACATTACTGTGCATTCTCACTCATAATTGGGCATTAAGTAAATAGAAGTTGTTCCGTATAATGCGTTTCTTTATTTATTTAGTCACGTATACATAATGATTGTTACACATTCCGACCATAAGTTAAATGTCTACGGCAGTCTTGAGTCCAAATGAAAAATTTCTCTAATAAAGCGCTCCATTGGTCATTGTCAAGCCAGGTTTCGTCACCAGTCATTCAGAATGCTGTTGTTTTCATCGAACATGTCGTTTATTCCCTCGTTACTCCTCGCTCGTCTCAGTCTCTTCTGTGGTCACCTCCACCGGCTCCGTTGTCGGTACCGATGTGGTTGGCACTTCCGTTGTAGTAACTGGAGCTATGGCGTAACCTTCCACTCTCACAAACATTCCCTCACCAAATTTTCCAGTTGCCATCACAACCATGGATGTCGTGCCGACGCCACCTTTAATCAATGTAAAGTCAGCCTCTTTGTCTCCCTCATTGCTGAACTTAACGTAGGTGATAGTTTCATCGGTTGTTGGAGTCTTCACACTGATCATGGCTCTCATGGGTTTCCACGGGATAGCAGGCTGTAATAAATATGAACCGTTAGTACGACCGGGGAATAGTTATGAAAGGCTCGCTATGTGAATTACGATAAAGAAGAAACGTTCAAGGCAAATCTCGACATTCGTGAGATTAGAATTAATCGTAGAATTTGGTACTCAAGAGTCAAGTTGACCCGAGCGGAAAGTTAATACATCATAGTTGTTAAATCTCTTACCTTGAAGATAGTTCTGTTGGTGCAAAGATAATCGCCCTCCACTCGTTCGCCGAGTTCCAAGTTGCCTGCCATTATGCAGACAGCCATGGAAAGGCACGAAACCGCAGAGAGCATAGAGCGCATCTTAGATCGTCGTTGTTTGTCGTGGATTCGCTTGTCAACTGAATTCTCAACTGCTCACCTGATGATCGCCGATAGCATTTATACCCTGGTGTTATCAATTCCCTGCGTTTCTTTCCACTGTGACAACAACTTATGTAAGATTATTTGTCTACTCCTCTGATTTTTCTTCCTCAAGCACGATGAATGCACGCATGCATCTTTGTCTTATCCCCTCCACTTCCACTTGACAATCAAAAAGGGCGAGTTAATAATTTCGCTTACGCATGGTTGTACTTCGATACAAGTAATTCTATAATTTTTAACACGATTATTTTATTATATAACATGTAAAATTCTATCAATTTTATTTTCATCAATTTCACACATATTTATATAAAGTGAATTTATTTATAATAAGAAATGAATAAAATAAATAAAGACGTTAAATTTTATTAAATTTTTATATATTTGGAAATATAAAAACAAGTTTTTGAATTATTGAAGATATTTTATTTTTTTTGTATTATAATTTATCTCTCCAAACAAGTATCGTGATCTTCCTCGATTTATTAAGAAGGAAGGGATTAACTTTTACAGCAGTGAATTAAGCCTGCCTTTAAGTGTTTATGATCTGTGTTTGTGTGTTCGGTTCTGTGATTTCGGTTTTACATGATTGAAGGAAAGATCAAAATACCCATATAAATAACGGAAAACATATTAAAGTACCAAGCGGTTTAACTGCAATTATTATTTTTCCATTGATAGCTGAGATTCCGCTAAGTTATTCTATTCATCGATAATGCGCGGTATCACGATTCTTATCTATACACACACTTCGTAATTCTTATGACGAAGCTATCTGCCGTTCGACGAAAACGTCATTCCTCTTTCACGTGATACTTGCTCGTAGTATCTTTATCTTCCTGGTAGCTGTACCATATATTTCCCAGTCTTTCCTCGATGTTGACCACGTTGGGGGCCCGATAACGCTGATAAGCACAAGTGTGACTAATTAAAATAGCACTGACGCGTCATTCGCACTTTTGCCGGGAGCCCAACTAATTGTATTAAACACGATAAACCACCTTTGCGAATAATGTGTCAGCATGTACCGCAAATTATAATGTAATATACATGAAAAAAATCAAGTATCATTTCGAGACTTATATAATCTAATAGACGCACGTGTTGCGGCTTTTCGCGACTTTTCCGACTGTGCGCGATATCGTGCAAATTAATTCCTTTTCGTAAATTCAACGCGCGATAAGAGAGGAAGAGGGTTGAAGGAGGAAGGGTGAGGAGGAGGGTGGGGGAGGGAATGTTTCATATTCTGCGTTATAACTCGAGACGTGTTCTTCAGTACGTGTGTAATCTCGGATCTCGGACTCATCGTTTCGGTCGCGTCAACTTATGCTACGTGAGAGACCGTAAAAATTATCATAAAACCTTTGTCTACACTTTGTAAACATTGCTTTGTAAGCCTTGCTTCAAGACATAAGTAGTAAACAAATTGAACAATTACAGTCATTTATTAGAAGCATAATTGACCGTGGTCAATTTGCTCGTGACTTATGTTTTAACCCTTAGAAGCATGGTGGGAAGTATACTTTCCACTTTTCTTCTTTCAGATTGTTGTCGATAAAATTTGCATTGCTATATTTGGATTGTATTTTTTTCTAGTATCTTAGGGATAAGTGAATGTAAAAAAAAATCGTGATCAGCGACCCCAAAAATCTCCGGGTGCCAAATTTGATGAAAAATAAGCGGGAAGAAAAATGTGTGCTTCAAAGGGTCAAATCAAGGTTGTAGGCAAGAGCTGAGTGAATGAGGGTCTACGGTAATGGTGGTAATTGCGCTGGTAATACATGCTTACGAATGCAAACGCAGCGGAGTCCGGGAAGGTAGTCAGACAAATCGATCTTATGAAACCGACAAGTGTCTCCTTATCCGCCATATCGACGAGTCCAACGTACAAATGTTTTCCTACATGGACAACGATGTTTGCTTCCTAATAGCCGCTTTGGTCGGCGCCGAAAAGCGCTTCCGGTCTACTCCTCCCTCGTCTACCGGCGATTTCCGAGAGTTGTTCGACAGAAAGAAAGAACGAGAGAGAGAGAGAGAGAGAGAGAGAGGGAGAAAGAGAGCCGAATCCTCTTTAAAATTCAGTTCCTAATGCCGAACTCCAAATTGGTATTCAGGATATTAGATACTCTCCAGGAAGTGCTTGGGATTCGACGGAAGATCGTCGTTGATCTTTTTAACATTTACGTAATTTAAGGATAGATCTTTCCGCCTGCCGATAAACCGACAGTAATAGTTAATCTGTCTCGGAATTTCCACGTTGCGCGAAATCTAATCTCGTTGTTCCTGTAACGGACGTAACTGTAACATTCAAGACGGAGGATTTATCAGAGCAGTTGGTCCATGTAGAAAGCCTGATTTTCAGTGGCGATATTAAGGGGGACTTTCGTAAGTTTACTATTTACCGGGAAAAAAATACTTTTTTATAACTTTGTTTAATTATTTAAATAATAAAAGTTAATTTTGAGCGTAGGCGCGAAATTAAGATAAATGTACAACACGATATTACAAATACGGAGATATTATTTATTTTTCATTTCTTAAATTAATACTTCATTCATATGTCGGTTGATATAATAATGGTGCACACACGGTAGAAAGTAGTATATAAATATTTAATTGGATTGATATTTGACTGGACTGAGTTTGTTAATGAAGTAATCTTCATTCGGAGAACGCGTAATCCGAACCCGCGCGCTGCAGGTAAATATTAATTTTGTTAATTTCCGATTGTAAATCCCTCTTCGCCTCGCTGCTGTTGAAATATGCACATGTTCTTGCACGAAGAAAATATGCACATCGCGTCTACATAATTGGTATATTTGAAATATTTGAAAATAGTCGATTAATATTTGTAAAAACTCAACGTGAACGTGCGGACACATTCGCGTTCTTCGTTAAAAATCACTGTCAAATAAACGAATCGTTAAGTAACGATCTTTTATTGTAATGTGTTGTTTGCGTGTTATTTGCAAAATGGTATAGGACCTTTTTGTTCGACTCAATGAGTTCTACACTCTTACGAAGCGAGGGTATCCAGCTCCGAGACACCCTGTATATTGCTACTTGATCAATCTACTTCATGCTGTTAATCCAAAATTTCCACGGAGGAATTCCACAAAGGAGGCGTTATCTTTCGTGGAATCTCTCCGAGGGAGACGGCAAACTCGAATGTGAACTGTTACGGAGATAAGATTTTATCGTGCGGGATCACGGACGTTACAATAGCTACCGCTGTTGTGTTTGACCGGCGACCTAAAATTAACCGGCGAGTGAATCAGAACTCATGCACGTAAGATGATCGTGATACACCACGTGTTATCGACGATCGTATCATATACATATGTACACACATTCATCGTGTGTGTATAGCACGTATGTTCTCTGTATTTCATTCAGAATGTTTGCCGGGCGCAAATTGTAATCAAGTCGCAAATTGTAAGTATTTTCTCGTGGTGAGCGCACTCCCGCCTTACTTCGCATATTACGAAGGACATATCTGTGCTCCCTCTTATTGCAACCCGCTTTCAAAGGATTCGCCCGTATAAATGTGTTGAGAAACGAAAACGTAGTTGTGTGCAAAACGGATATTCTCCGGTTTTACAGCTAGTTTTAACAAGTGTTTCAATGCCGATGAGCGTATCACGAGACGCATCAGCTAATCTAAATTAAACGAATACACGAGGTGCCCTAAACTAATCTTAATTCCCATGGTGTGCAAATAGAACGTGTGAAGCTGAGCAGAAAAGTCTTACACTATTTTACGAATAACACGCGAAATATTTACATTTCATTAATTACATGACAAAATGGCGGATATGTACATACTTAAGTGAGAATTCGCATTTCGCGTATTCTAACATCTCCATTTTCCTAATATTTGCAACAATTCGTAATCGCTTCTGAGAAAAACAATCCGTTTTACATGCGGACGTGAAACAAACTCACGTTCAATAATTACGGGGACTAGACGCACTTTCGCGTTTTCCCGATTTCAAATTGCCAGCCAACGGTTATTTCGTGCGATGTCGATGTCGCGTTTTTGCGCCGACTAGCCGCGCCTTCGGCGGTGGATGGATTTAACGATCGTCTTCGAAACGTATTACGTATACCAATACGCAGCCGGAAGCGCTCGCACTCGTGCGCGCTGCGCCACACCGCGCGCTCCACCACCGCGTTTGCGCGAGCATTCGCGCGCGCGCGGCTGCTGCTGGTAATTACTCACGTCACGTAGCCGCGTAGTTGCTGGCCGCGCGCGGATGCCATTTTTTATACCATCAAGAGGTGCCAGCTCGAACGTGCAGACCGCCACACAGTGGATAATATCGGTCAGTGCTTTTTATTAGCACCTGAGAAAGAGAGAGAGAGAGAGAGAGAGAGAAAGCGTGTATCGATCCAATAAACGCCATCACGTCAGATCGGGGGGGGGGCGAGAAGAATCGCTACGGAGGATAAAATTCTGAGCGCTTGATCTGGCCGCGCGCGAGTGGAAATGGCACATCACGTATCAGCGATCTCTTCTTTCATTAACGTTACACGAACGTTTCACGCATCGCTCCTAATCACTGCCCGCGAGTACGAGGCGATCACGAACATCGTGAAAAGAAGTAGCACCCCCGTATACCCCCGCCCCTCATTCGCACGTGCGCGCGCGCATGTTCCTCTCCCGATTCCCATCGGACTCGAATCACGATGATCGTGCGAGCGCAGTTTCTCGGTATTTTGTTGGATTAACTTGTGACTTTTTGTCGCGCCGCTCTCGCACCGTAAACGGCGAATTGAATCCCGCGTTGTCTCCGATGCGTATCGCATTACGAGCATCCATTAGCCGTAAATTATTTAATAATATTTATAACTGAAATAAAATACAATGGTGTATAAATTGGCGTCAAATCTAATGAATGTTAAAATGCAGTCAGTAACACTTTGTATGCATATCGCTACTTCATTTCTTGGGGTAGAAATCAGAAGTGGATATAGTTGG